TAGATCCCCTTCTGAATTATGGTGATGAAACATAAGACAAATGCTGGAGGGTTTCATTGAGCCATTTAATAAATGGCCCTCATGACAACGCCGGTCGCCTCGTCCTTGTCTATAAGGACTGCAACTCATACCAGTGCCCACGTATACGTTTCATGTGATCTCTTCAGAGGATTCGAACTATTTTCTTACACCTAACACAGCTTTTATTCCACTTAGAATAATTACCCTCCATCCCATTTCTGACTTGCAAGAAAAACAAGACACTTAGCTGACCACAGGAGGACCCTCTCAAGGGCGTCGGGCTGCAAAAGCGCTTCTGGGAGCTCACAGCTTAGGCTGATGTAATCGGCTACAAGAAGCTGGCTTCTATTTTTAAATCATACCCTTTTACTCTGCCTTCAAAGGGCACATATATCACCCGATGGAACTGCTCATAAAATACTTCATGGTGTAGCCTCCTGTCCATGTCCCTCCTGGGGTGAGTCACTGTCAGGGGGGGCTCCCGCCTCCACAGCGCCGCCCGCCCCGCCCACCCAGATGCGTCCACCGCGTCCTAGTGCTCAGTCTGACGGGCTGCAAGTGACCACTCTCCAGGTGTCTTGTTGATCACCGTCGTTTTGACAAGGAACAGATGAGCTAGCAGGGTCCTATTTGCGGGCTGGGATCAAGCTTTTCCACCTCTTTGTATTTCCATCCCCAAATACAGGCACTTAACAAATGCGTACTAATGCCGCTGCCGAGGGCTCTGTCATCCGGCCTGTGTGCTTCAAAGGCTGCCAGAATGGAAACAGATTATTTACTTCGTTTGATTTTAAGTTTTTCATTCATCATTTCGGGCATGCTCCCTGTGTGTTATTAAAAAAGTTGCTTAGCATTCAGAAAACACTATGGAAACAGCCTTGGTTGGAGGTGAAAGAAGACTTGGTCTCGCTCTTTATTTATTTATACTTCCTTTGCTCGTATCTAACAGGAATGAAGAGCTCTGTGACTACAGTGGCGCTGCGGGGGAGTCTGGCTATTGCCCTCTTCGTTCCACAGGCCCCCATGTCCTGTCTGGGTTCACACAAAAGCCTCCTAGCAGCGTTCCCAGACTGAAGGCTTGGTCCTTGCAATCTTTCACATTAAAATCTGAGTGCGCTAGCCCTGGCTGTGTAGCTCAGTTGGTTAGAGCATCGGCCTGTACACCAAAGGGTGGCAGGTTTGATTCCTGGTCAGGGCACATACCCAGGTGGCAGGTTTGATCCCCGACTGGGAGGCAGCCAGTTGATGTCTGTCTGTCTGTCTGTCTGTCTCTCTCTCTCTCCCTTCCTTCCTCTCTAAGAGCAATGAAAAAAATTCAGAATGAGCTATCAAGAATAGTGATTTAATTATGTCCTATCCCCATCTCAAACCCTTCCATGCCCTCTCAGGGAGCTGTCCCTTGTGGTTTGGCTCTGCTGACCTCAGCAGCCCTGGGTCTGGGCACCACCATCCCCACATCCACTGTGCCTTCCATGTTCTGGTTGCAGGGACCTTCGGGTCCTTAGATGTACTTTCCCCTAAAAGCTTTTATCTCAGTTACTTCCTCAGCCTGGAACTCTGTTCTGCTGTCCCTCCTCCCTCCACCTAGCTCCTCCCACCCCTCCTTCACATCTTGATCAGATGCCCTTCCTGCAGGCAGCCCCTCAGGGTGGCAGCCTGTGCTACCCCGTCGGGCTTCCCTGCTCTGCCCCCAAGGGCCTGCACATGGCAGGAGGGCGGTGAGGCAGCTCCAATCTCACTGGCTGGATGAATGAGTAAATGAGTGGACGTATACTCAAGACTACAATCAGGGGGTTTCCACGTGTGAGGCATGAATTAGCATTCTGTCTCCTCTGAATTCAAAGAACAGAATTTATAGCAAAATGCTACTTTAGTTCAGGATTCATCAGCTGAAACTGACTGTGGCAGGAAGATCCGAGGGCGGTGGTTCTCAACCTGTGGGTCGCGACCCCTTTGGGGGTCGAACGACCCTTTGACAGGAGTCCCCTAAGACATAACAGTAGCAAAATTACGGTTATGAAGTAGCAATGAAAATAATTTTATGGCTGGGGGTCACCACAACCTGAGGAACGGTATTACAGGGTCGCGGCATAGGGAAGGTTGAGAGCCACTGCCCGAGGGAGGCTGAAGTTCCCCACCCCACAGTGGCACCTAAGGAGCCGGGGCTTGACCTCTCACCCAGAGGACTGAGAATGAACACTTTCCAGAGAGGTCAATGGAGATCCATTTAATACAGAATCCTAACTGGGACAAAACACGAAAGCTCGCTCAAAGTTAAATTTCATGTTATGAACTCCAAGCGAATAGCAGACTCCACAATTTAAATTCATTCCAAAGAGGGCAGCAAGCCACAAATTAATACTGCTACTGCTTACCTGCAAAACCACACATGTCAATTTCCAAAACATCTTAAGGTCAGTTGCATGTGGTGAGAATGCCCTAGAGGTTTGAGAAAACACGTTTCTGGCCCCTCCGACTCCACGGCTGGAAACAGGCCATCGGCATGGGTGCTTACTTGGGGACAGGTGCTAGGCTGCGCCTGGGGTTATGGCAGCAAAGAACCAGTCCAGTCCCTGTCCCCATGAAAGTCCAGCCTCGTCAAATATATACACGCATTTGACTTCTCAAATTCTTTCCTTAAATTCTAAGTACACCATGTTCTGCTATTAAATTAAATCCAGTACACATGGGACTGGGGTAAGGCATCGCTTCAGCTACTTCTTTATGGCAAAGATTTTTTTTCAACCATATTTTCCAAAATCAACAGACTGATCACACTAAAGAGTGGGTAATGTTTCAACATGCAAACCAAATGACGAAGGGCTTGGTTTTCATTTCATCCTTACACAGCTAGTAACCACCCTCCAAAACAAAACCAAATAAACACAATTCCACATGAAATTCTCTGGCCTTCCAGAATAATCATAAGTTTACTTTTATTATCTGGCACATAGAAGGTGCTCAATAAATGTTTGTTGAATGAATAAATCACAGGACAGGCATTATTACTATGAAAGTTCCCTTTTAAATTTTATGTATGTTCTTCAATCCTCCCCCCCTTTTTTTTTCTCTTAGAGAAAATGTTATGCATAATTTTCTAGGATTCTGACTTTCAGTGCCCTGTCTGACCCTGGGCTAGTCACTTAAAATAGGTACCATTTTCTTCGGCCATAAAATGAAATCTTTGCCTTGGTTATTATGAGGGTTAAAAGCTGTAGTAGATATAAAGTGACTGGCACCATACCCTGCAGATAATGTTCAGGGTTTTTTTTTTCCTTTCCTTTTTCTTTTTTCAACCTCTCCATTCCATTCCCCAACCTCCTTCAACCTCCAAATAAAGTATCAAAGACAAACTGAATTATGTGCCTGATAAAAAAGTCAGGATATCTCAAAGGTGACCTGGGCTCACCAACTCTAGCTAGCAACTCTTGAAAAGTTTTATTACTTTGGGGCCCTGATTTTCTCTTTTAGAGAATGAGTGAGTTTCACTAACTCATTTTTATTTATTTTTTAATCCTCACCCGAGGATGTTTTTCCATTTATTTTCAGAAAGAGTGGGAGGGAGAGATAGATGGATAGAGAGAGAGAAACATCGATGTGAGGGAGACATATTGATTGGTTGCCTCCCGCATGACCCCAACCAGGCCAGGGACCGAACCACAACCGAGGCACATGCCCTTGACCAGAATCGAATTCGCAACTCTTTGGTCTGAGGGCCAACGCTCTAACCGCTGAGCCAAACCAGCCAGGACTCTAACTCATTTTTAAAGGACTTTTCAGTTCTGATTTTCCATGAGCTCAGAAGCCTGCCTTACCAAGAAATTAGATGCTGCTAACACATTAAGGTCATCTGTGATCAGACGTAAAATGGACTCTGATTTCCCTCATAGAGAGGGATTCTAAATTACCAACCAGAATAAGACTTGACTTTTAAAAGAATTTGTATGAATCTAATACCTAGGTCAAGAACTGGTAACCTTATTCTTAAGCAACAGAGGTCCCTCCTCCCCCTTCACATCTCCTATCCAACATGTCACACACGTCCCATACATCCAACCTCCTGTGTATGAGAGGCGCTCCCCATTCACAGTTCTGCAATGGTGTGCTTAAAAAGAAATCTAGGGATTTTGAGCAATATTACTGAATCATTTGAAATGAGTAATAAGACAGTTGATACAATATTATGTCAAACCTAACATTTGCTTTATTTTTTTCTTTCACACTCAGAAATATCTAAGTCAACCAAACAAAGAACCCAAGCCTGTACACGCAAACAAACATCTCTCTGCATTTTCATAAATACTCAGTGCACGACTGCCACCTAGTGGTGGGATGTATCCTTGTTTGAACAAATCTCCAAACAGCTAAACTGACAGATCATTAAAAAACCAAGGAATCACTGTTCTCTGCTGCTCACTAGTTATTTCAGGGAAATTTAGGAGCATACTCATCTCCTTGGCTAGATCTTTTCCTCATACAAATTTCTGAAGAGGTCTATTACACATGAAGTCAATACCACATTATTTAATCCTACAACTAAACCTGATGGCTTCTGAACCAATTCACAAAACAAAGGAGCATTATTATTCCATTAATTGTAATAATCATTAGTAATTAAAAAGGATTTCCACAATAGTCTGTCCTCACCTTCCAGTTGCATTTGATCTAATCTTGATTTTTGGTTACGCATGAAAAGACATTTAAAAGTGACAACCTCACAAAAGCGCACATTATATGAAAATCTGACTTCAATTAGAACCAGTAACTAAGTCCCAGCAGTTTCCAGCTGTCTCTCCACTCGTATCCTTAGAGAATTATAGATCACATTAATTGGTGTTCTGTCACATAAAAAGACACCAGTGATGATTAATTATATCCTTGGTGCTTTTGAGTTCTGTCTTCTTCACTAGAAGGATTCAAATCACACCTCATTACCTTCCAGCAGGTACCCCTTTGGTAACCCTTGTAAAATCACCTACCTTCCTGAACTTCTCCATTTGCTTGTAGAGGTCTGGATCAAGCTCCTGTGACACGTCCTTCATCCATAATAATGCCCCTCTGTATTCCGTCCGGCACTGCTCCATGCGGTTCACCGTCAGCCAAGTGTCCGAGATGGCCCGATGCCGAAAAGTCTCCACTTCTTGGTGAAATCGACACAGAGGATTTCGCAAGGCCAACCTAGACCAAGGATAAGGCCACAATCTTGAAACTAAGTGGGCTAGAAATCTGAATCCTTGACAATTTACCAAGCTTAACCTCATGAGCCTAGCACAGTGCCTGGAACACAGAAGATGCTGTAGAAATGTTTGATGAATTCTAACTGAAATGCATGCGAACTGAGGTGCCAGCCAGAGATGATTAGCCATGTACTGATCTCTCAGATTACTGTTACTTAACTGTACTTTTGAGAAGTATTTCCATCAGTATTGTTGGGCATGGCTTCACGCCTAGGCAAAGAATACTCGCTGGAAGCTTGAACCAATCCTGTGTTAATGGAGAAAGGTCCAGGAATAACTATTTTCCATGTCTACTCTTGGCCACTCTCTGCCTGATGCTCCTCTGAAGGCTGGCCCGCTGGGGAGGGACGGGCCTGTGTGTGATTAGGGTCTCCCTGGCCAGGCCATTTTTGATTATTCTCCAAAGGCCTGGGCATCTGCTGCTTGACCCAACTGTCAGGGAATGAAGCACAAATAGAAGCATTTTTTAATGGTCTAGGAAGGAAGAGAAGTGCATGTACAGAGGCCTTACTATGCCATGTGTTAGGTACTTTCAGTAGGTTCTGTGATCTGATCCTTACGAAAAAACAAAACTTAAGGATATTACACCAGAAATGAATGTATGTTATACAAGGAAGTGGGTGTAAAATAATTATAATATTGGCCATAACATACTATCGTTTATTCAGCAAAAAAGAGATAATAATAATGCTTGATACATATCAAACCTTGAATAAAATATTTATTGGAGGGGGAGGGGGATACTTCCACCTTCCTACCCTAAACAGTAATATCAGATGAATTACACTCTTTAAAAAAAAAAAAAGTCATCCGCATGACGTTGCAGGGCAAAGTTTCAAAAAATGAAAATAAGATGAATATTTACATTTTAATTTAAACGCAAACTTATCCAGGTGGAGGGGACAATGGTGTCAGTGAGCTGAAGCCAGGTCCTGGCAGTTCTTCAATGTGGACGATGCCGTCCATGCAAACAGCCCCATAAGATTATGGATACAGCAATAAACTGTTTAAGGGGAAAATCCTTTTACTATTTTCTTCGGTTTTCCTTTTTGCCTATAAAGCACTGTATAAATATTCAGCACTTCTTTAAAGTCAGCTTGCTCACATTGGCCTACCTAGGTGTTGCGAGCTGTTTTCAAAGGCATATTGTTGTGTCATAAAGTAAGCCTGCGCTTTATCAGCACTGGATTAAATTTAATACTCACTATTCATCAAACTGAATGAGCAGTTGTAGCAATGACTACCAAAGAAGTCAGCACAACAAACGCTGGAGTGAAGGTGTATAAAATCGAAGCCTTCTATTGAAAGGGAGAAAAAGTCCACAGCTGTCCCCCTAAGGATCCTGTTTATTTCTGGACTCGTTTTTTTTTTTTTTTCCCCCACTTCCCTTGGCTTTTGCCATTTTTCCTAAACTGGCTGAAAGAGCATCTTGTGAATAAAATATTCCCGATTTCTTTGACTGTTGTCAAGTTGGACCAAAACTTTTGAAGATGAAATGACATGATGACAGAGATTAAGATCTTGGAGAAAAGAAAAAGACATATAAAAGCACCTCATTTTTTCCTATAACTTGTTTCATATAAAATCAGACAGGTAAAAAGCTCTTCACTTGTGGTATCAGGGACTGATCCAGACCAAGGGAAAACTCAATGAGCGGAACTATCAGGCTCCAGGGAAAGACTGTCCCACGTTTTCATTCATGAAAATCTACCCAATGGGAACAGTGGATGAAGTGCCTGAAGGTCTACTGCAAAGACATTTATCCTGCAGTGGGTGAAGGTGGAAGTGCCCAGGAAGTGCACGCAGGGTCCGGGTGAACTCTATCACGGATGCTTCGACAACAGAATACTATGCTATGGATGTTTACAAAATGTATATATAAACATAAAAAGGTGGTTTGTGTTATTTGATCAGAAAAATCAGTTTGCTAAATAACCAGCATGCAATACTTTACAAAAATTGTATGGTATAATGCTGTTTATATATATATATTTAAAATCCTGGCACATCCCAAATTATGTCCATTCAAGGTCCGAGAATTCAATGTCACGCGAGTTTTATGTAATCCTACTTCTTCATGTTTAGGAGGACTGCTGAGGATGCCAGGTACCTGGTAAGTAGCTGAGCACCGCGAAACCAGAGCCATCCTACAGGAGGCCACCGTCCAAACTGCAAAGTTGCCTAAGCTGCATTACATTACGGACTCCGGGGCAGATTGCTAGTTTGTAGCAGTGATACTTTCATGTATCGTTTGCATTGTTTTTGCTGACTTCTTTTACTGTTTTTATCTGTATCCAAAGGTCAGATTCTATAAACTTCAGGTATCAAATGTGTGCTGTGTGAGATAATTTGACATATAAGTCTGAAAGGGTATCACTAGATAGCCACATTACAAAACAACCATGTGATCAGTAATGGTAACTTTTTTAGTGATGTGTCCTGAGATTTAGTTTTGTTTCCCATAAATGGATGCTGATATTGACTTGCAGGTCTATATAAGAATTTTCCCACTGAAATTAGTAATAGTTATATGGTTAACAAACACCAATTTAAGAAAGATTTTTCAAGAATCAATTATCCTTGTATATAATAGAAAGTATCAAGGGGTCAAAACTGGATCGTCTCTATTAAAATCTGTGTGTGTGTGTGTGTGTGTGTATGGTGTTTATTTTGTTCTTTTGGTCTTTCCTGTTATTAAATTTTTCTAGAATGAAGAGTTATCATTTTCATAAGGAAAATGTTATAAAAAGATTAAAAGAAATTCAAGATTATAAGGAAACACTTTCCTTGGAAAACTGGGGTATAGAACTTTTAGAAATGGGCTCATTCAACTAGGAAAGTTGGCACCGCTCACGAGGTCAGGGTCCAGATATCATTGGGAAGAACCAAAATGCCCAGGAGTGGCACGTTCTGACATGGTAGGTCTCTCTTCCACTCCACCTGCCTTGGTCCCCACAGGAAGACGCGTGTGACAGGCCTGCCCTTGGCCCCAGGGAGGGAAAGCAGTAAGAAGAAATTAATAGGAGAAGAAAATGTTGGACAACTGAGGAAGTGAAATTTTTGTAGCCTGAATATTTTTGGAAACTACGTTTAAGCCTTATTTAGGTATAATCCTGCCTAAGACAAGTGAGTGACATTTTTGGAGGCTTGCTAGTTACTGGGGATGGAGGAGGAGAAGGTGTCAATTTCTCAGGCACAAAGTGCAACTTGTGTGCCAGGGCTCCCGCTTCTTCTCCACAGACCATAAAAATGAGTCATGGTAGCGTTAAAAAAAGAAGGCACTGACCTAGCACAATTTTCTCTGCACCAGAGCTTCCCAAACCTGAATGCGCATGGAGATCAACTGGGGATGTCCTTGAAATGCAGATTGAGACTCAGCAGTTCCGCAGTGGGGCCTAGATTCTGCATTTCTCACAGGTGCCCAGGTGGGGCGGCTGATATTGCTGTCCAGGGTCTGAGCAGAACAGTTCGGGGCATCGTGAACAATACTGCTCTAAAGTTAATTGGTCCACTGAGAGCAGAGAAGGAACCCTTCCACCTGGTCTCATTAGGCTCCCGCTTTGATCAGCTGCTGGAAGGGGACCAGGCTGATTGCTAGGGGCAAGGCTCAAGGTCAAATACAAGCCTAGGACAGTACTCAGTGATTGGCATATAAAATGCCCCCTATAGACCAGAAAAAATATGAAAAATCATTTTTAAAATTTTTAATACGGTGGGGGGAAAAAATCGTGTCTGTTATCTTAACCAGAAAATACGTACCAACAGACTAACAACTGAGAACAGAACAGCCTGTCAGTCTCAGACAACAGTCTTCTAGGAAGCACTGGGCAATTCCCCTTCGTGAGTAAGTGGGTCCCACATTCTCAGCAGATCCCCCAACCAGAGCCCCAAGGAAGGCCACACACCTTTGCTGGGAAGAAAAGCAGAGGGCCTTTCCTGTCGCCTGCATCATTTTTCCTGCTCTGGTTTTATCTTGGAAGCCTTGGGATCGGAGAAATTTCCCCAGTTCGTTTTCTTCTTGAGACAAGGCTGGTGAGGAAGAGACCAAAAGGAGCCATGAACAATGAGCATTTTTATTACAGAGCAAAGGAGAGAGACAAATCCCAAGGTCCTCTCTCCTCTAGAGTCAAAGATGAGATGAAATTAAATCCAAGTGACAGGCTACAAGGTAAGCTCCCCACCCCCTCCATTGAACTTTCATGCTGTTCTTCCATTTACAAAAACGAGAGATCGAATTCACTTGAGTACATCTGTCAGTGGGTTTGGTGCCCTGTAATCGGAACCAGAAAATGACCTCTGTACTGAAAAGCGAGCCGATAATGTGCTGCTTCGAGTCGAAATGAGAAAGATGAGTTTGTCAAGTGTGACTGTGGGAATCTTCGGTGGCTGCCGGTAATGAAGGGTCAGTTTCCTTCTGTTTTTCTCTCTCACTGACTTTTTGATCTCTGCTTTCTGAGTTACATTCTACTGGATTGTAAAGCCATTCAAACACCTTATCCATGACCCAGGTTTTCGGTTGGTGGTGGGGATGAGGATTAAGGGTGGGTAGGTTGATGGGGTTTTTAAATGCGGAGCTGGACCCAAATCTGAACTGGTTATGCCTAATCTTGGTCTTACTTTTTTTTTTTTTTTTTAGTTCATGCATAATTGGCATACAACATTGTTAGTTTCAGGTATACAACATAATGATTCGATATTTACACTGGTCCTTATATTTGAAGACAACCTCGGATGATACTACTGATGAGCCTAGTGACTGGTCCAAGCTTTCTACAGACTGGTTTGGCAGTGAATAGAAATGTCTCTCCTGACACTGCCCTTCTGTTAGAAGTATACCCTAAGTAAGTAGTAAAATGGGCTCAAAGATGTACATACAAAGATAGCCATAGCATCATTGTTTCTAAGAGCAAAACACTCTTTTTCCCTATAGTGGAGATGGTTTAATCACACACAGTGCACCCACAAAGTGAGCAGCGAGCTGTTACAAGTCACTGGTCCCGAATGCACACTCACGCACAGCTGAGCAAGGAGTGACACCAGAGCTTCCTGGAATGTATTTTGTCTACACACAGCATTTGCTAACGGATGTACTCTGAACACTACTACTCTGATTTCACATTTCACATTATCTGTCTCTAAAACTGCTTTTTATTATTATTATTTTTTTTAATCCTCACCTGAGGATATTTTTCTATTTATCATCAGATAGAGAAAAAGAGGGAGAGAGAGAAACATCAGTGTGAGAAACACACATCAACTGGTTGCCTCCTGCATGACTGGACCAGGGCAGGGGATGAACCACAACCGAGGTATGTGCCCTTGACTAGAATCAAACCTGCAACTCATTGGTCCGTGGGCCAATGCTCTAACCACTGAGCTACTGGCCAGGGCTAAAACTGCTTTTTACTTTTTGTTTTTTTTTTTAAATCCTCACCTGAGGATACTTTTTTCCATTTTATCTTCAGATAGAGGGGGGGGGGGCATCGTCGATGTGAGAGACACATCGACTGGTTGCCTCCTGCCCAAGCCCGACCAGAGCCAAACCGACCAGCACAAAAACTGCTCTTTAAAAGCTACTGGGATTCTTGTCCATTTCCACGAACCATCAGATTTCTTTGAGAATGCACCCGGTTCCTGACCCAGCCTCTCCAACGTTGGCTACAGAGTGTTCACCAGGAATCACAAACCCAAAGGTCAAGGTTAAAGTCTCTACTGCTCCCTTATTGATTTGTGACTGTGGTTCAAGCCCCACATTCCAGAGGAGAAGACACTTTTAGAATCTGTTCTTCCTGCGAGATGAATGACTATCCTCCTACCTCTTCTGTCTCAAACTCAAGTTCACTGGTCAAAGTCCCGCTCAACGGCGACTTCCTCTGTGAAGCAGTTGATCACTATTTTTCCATGATAGCAATGCCCCTCAGCATTTGTTATTAGAGTCTTTGCAGATGGGTGTGTCCATTTCCCACGAGTCTCCAAGCTTTCTCAGGACAGGGACCTCATGTAAACTATGGATTCCCCAGGTAAATGCTTGGAAAATGGAATTAACTAGAATTTCCCCTTGTTATCCCTGTATACTTTGTTTTACTTTAAATGCTTATTTGATATTTATGCCATGGTTCTATGTAGCTTTGAAAAATTTCTATAATTATAAGAATTTTTTTTTATATCTTTTATTCCTTCTTCTCTTTACTAATGTGAGACTCACACAATTTCACAATGAATCTTTCCCTATGGAGAGCAATTTCACATTCTTGTTCAGAATAGCATGAGGCCACTGTCACCATTTTTACCTTGAAGCCTCGAGTCACCTACACATGAACACATTTAGCTGAAGGCTAGGACGAAACCCATTCATGGAACCTGGGTGATTACGTGGTTGGTGAAATGTACTCTCCCCTAAATAAACCCAAGTAGGTGGAAGCAATGGAAAAAACATTTTTAGTTACTTTGCACACTTGGGGATTGAACTTGGGGTGGTGGACAGGTTTCTCCTTGAGAGCTAGACTCTGACTAATTGGCAGTGTTGCTCAGAGGGTGATGGAAAAATTTGAGCTGCATCAGGCCCTAGGTTGGATTCCTTAGAGGTGGCCATCATTTTCTGAGAAGAGACGTTTATTCCTTAACTCTAATGTTAAAAATTCAAATACTGCCTGTCCAGTGTGGTTCAGTGGACTGAGTGTCGCCCCATGGACTGAGAGGTCCTGCCTGGCTTGATTCCAGGTCAGGGCACGTGCCCGGGATGTGGCCTTGATCCCCAGTAGGGGGCGTGCAGCCGATGGATGTTTCTCTCTCACATCGATTTTCTATCTCCTTTCCTGTCTCTCTAAAAAAAAATCAATAAAAACATATTTTAAAAAAATTCAAATACTGAAATTAATTCACAGACATTTAAAATTCTTCTAAGGTAAGAGATAACTTAAAAGTTTTTTTTTGTTGTTTTGTTTTTTTTATCCTCATCCGAGGACATTTTTCCATTTTTTTGTACAGAGTGGGAGGGAGAGAGAGGAAGAGAGAGAGAGGGAAACATCGATGTGAAAGGGACACATCGAGTGGCTGCCACCTGCACGACCAACCAGGGCCGGGGACAAACTGCAACCGAGGTATATGCCCTTAGCGGGAACCGAACCCGGTCTCTCTGGACCGCAGGCCGACGCTCTAACCACTGAGCAAAACTGGCCAGGGCGAGATAACTTAAAAGTTTATGAGTTTTTACTTTACTGGGGTTTAAAAATTCAGACAAATAAAAATCTATTCATATTTAATTGCTGATTAGATTTTCCGATGTGCCCTAAAACGGCAGCTAAGGAACTATAAAAGCAATTAGCTCGGCAGCATGAATTCGCTCAGCACAGAGTGAATGAATTTATGAATGACCTAAGAGAAATGAACAAGACACATGACACCTGCTCTGATGAAGCTTCCGTGGAAGCAGCAGGGGACAGAAAATAAAAAAATATGGACTCGCAAACTCAACACCAGAGAGTAAGAGAGATTAGTAACTGCTTTGGACTGGTGGTCAAGGAAGGTACCTCTGAGCAGGTGACCCTTAAGTTGAGCTCTGAATGACAAGAAGGGGCCTCTCTTGAGATGATTAGAGACAGGACACTCCACACAGGAAACAGTGGGTGCAGAGGCCTCATGTCACACGGCGGGTGAGGACGACGAAGGCTGGAGGGGTGAGCTGTGCCCCTCACGTGGAAATTTATGAGCCAGGGTATGGAAGTCTGGATGTTATGGTAAGTGCTACTAGAGGCTTTTTGGCAGAGAAGCAGTATGTTCCAATGTACATTCTTTTAAAACTTTAAATTGTGGAATAATTTTAGGCTTATAGAAAAACTGTAAGAATTCAGAGTTCTGTATACCCTTGGTCAGCTGCCCCTAATGTTAGCATCTTACAAACACCAAGGCACAATGATCACAGCTGGGAAATGAGCACTGGTATAACAGTGTTGACTAACTAACTAACCCCAACCTTACTGGAACTTTACTAGTTTTCCCATTAAGGTTGCTCTTCCGTCCCAGGATCCCAGTGCACTGAGCTGCTGTCCCCTCAGCGCCCTCCAATCCGTGGCCGTTCTCAACCTTTCTCGTCTTTCATGACCTTGATGCCCTGTAAGAGTATCTGCCAGGACTTCTGTAGAATTCCCCTCACCATGGGTTTGTCTGAGTGCTCACTATTAGACTAGGGTTACAGGTTTAGGGGAAAGAAAGCATACACGTGGCGTGCACGGTATCTGAGCTCCATGACATCGACATGCATTTCCCTGGTGATGTTCACCTCGATCTCTTCTTCAGGGCCTGTCTACTGAGTTTCTCTACTATAAAAGGATGATTTTTCCCCTTTCATAATTCTTAAAAGTCTTGAGGGTGAAGTACATGAGACTACGCAAACATCCGGTTTCTCCTCAAACTTCCCAGCACGAATGATAACACTCGCAGAGCAGCCGAACGGCCACAGTCCTTACTGTCCTGTCTGCCTCCTGATGACCTTGCGGCGCCCTCCTTCTTCCTGTAGCTAGTCACTGGAGTTATTTTATAAGGAGGAGCTCTCTCTCCTCGTTTGTTTATTTCCGTATAGGCTTTATGCATATTTATTTTACTTTATGGGTTATAATGCAACCCAATCATTATTTATTTTGCTGCTCCAATCATTGTTGACCACTGGGAGCTCTGGGAGGGCAACCTCATTGCTCTCTGGCTCGGGGGACCATGGACTGGGGCCGGCACAGTGGAGGCAGGCAAACCAGTTAGGAAGCCGATGCAGCCAACTGGGAGAGGGAAGGTGGTGACCCAAGACACTGGCAGTGAGGGAGGAGAACCTGAGAGCTATTTAGGTGACAAAATGGACCTGTAACTGAAATGAATGAACGCAGGACACAGAGATGGGTGTGTGTGTGTGTGTGTGTGTGTGTGTGTGGTGTGCCATGTGCCTGATTTCCTCACTGCTCGAGACTATGGAGTTACAGGTGTGGAGAAGTCTTAGCTCCAACACTAGTAAGTAGTAACACAGATCGTTTATGGAATTCTGCCTCTAAGTCCTAGGACTTTGTACTTACCCCAAATCGTCTCAATAAAACCTTACTAATGAAGGAAAAAGACCAGTGGTTAATTCGTGATTATTGGAAAGGTTTGGCGGCAGTCAGAAACAGAAAAAGTTCCCATTTAGTCTCAGAAATATAGAAATTGTACTATTGCCATCACCTACCAGGGGAAATAGAAAAACATACCAACATACAACTTTGTATTTATTAGCATTTCAGAGACAACTCTGTTGGTAACCATTTTAAGACAGGATCACCATGGGAAAGTCTTGTTCCCTAATAACACAACATCCAACATAAAAATGTTGATGAGGAAGTGTTATCAATAAAACATTGTCAGTGAAGTCACTGTATGTGCCTTTTCACTCCATCTGGTCCTTTTTAAAAGAACAAAATTAGAAATAAGAGAGCCAGGGCAATCTAGAAAACAAAAAACAAATTAAAAAATTCCCAGGCTATAAACACTGAGAAAACTTTTTTATAATTAGAAAAATAAATGGCATGTACTTAATCAGGGAGACCCAATTCAAAAATCCTTCTGTTTTTGTACCTGCATTGAAAAATAAACAGCCTATGTAAAGGATTTCGGATAAAATTATTAAAGACTCTCCTCTCTACCACTCAAAGAGCAAAGACAGATACTCCTAACTAGTAGTTTTGTTTTTGGTCTTACTTCCTAAACATGTGCAATGAAACAGTAGGGCAAAATATCCTATTTCTAACTGACCAACATTCACACTTATGGTATACTTACAGCATATTCTCTTTTGATAGAGTACAATTGCTTTAGACAAGTCCAAACAGGTTCTCTGAATTGAATGAAACAGCTGTAATAAAAATACAAACAAAATGCTAAATAAAACACACAGCAGTGAAATAAAAAAATAATTACACTGAACATCATCACGGTGTTTGATCTGCCCACTGAAAACAAAATCACATGCCCACATGTGCTTGGTGCTACGTGGTGTACTACACAGAAACCGCGCCTGAAGCCTTCCAATGTGCTCCTATTGTTCTGTACTTATTGGAATTCACCATCTCTGCCATCTAAATGAAGATCTGCAGAACAACGATTTCCTCCAGACAACTGAAATAATAGCTGAAAAACAGAAATCCTAAGTGAAGGTCCCAAGTAGAGGACTTGGAAAACCAGAGCCCCAATATTCATTCATAATCTAATTTATTTCTTTTACCACTTTCTGTCTTTTTTTTTTTTAATGGAGAATCTGTCAATTAAGCATCATATTTAAAACATGTAATTAGCTTAGTCTGTGATCCTAATGTCCTCTGTGGCATGCTACAACAACTCTATAAAAAGCAAACAAAAATCAATCAGCTGAATGTTCTGTCTGTTTAGAAGACATCTGGTGAAATAGAGCTTATCTAGCAGGCCCATCGCTCCGTATTTTCCCAATGATTTCATAAAATATACAGAGAAGAAACCGAATGTCATGCTCTATAGCCATCACAGAAGAAATGACAGGAAAAGCAGGTGGGCTGTACTTTTAACTCATCATGGACCTGGTCTTTGCGTCAGAAACTGAGACAGCTCAGGAGACGATGGAACAGATACTTCACACTTTCTCTACCAACCCGGAGGCCAGGGCTGATATCAATTAGAAAACCTGGCAGACAAACAGGCAAGGTTTCCCTTGTCCCCCTCGAGCTGACTGGCCCTGGTGATGTAGCAATTATGACCTGGTACTACAAAGCACTTCATGATTTTAGTCCAAACAGACGATCTGCTTCATAATATAGATGACCAGATGAATAAAAATGAAGGCATACATATATACTTAAAAGATTAAAACTATTCCCAGGAATGCTTATTATGATAAAACTTGGACACAAAGAGTATAAATTTTACTGGATCTCATTTCATTTTAATGCATCCTCTACCTCTTTAGAAAAGAAAACAACAACAACAACCCTTTACCATAAAACAAAGTAGAAAATCAGCAGTCAGAAGTCTGTTCCCTAACAAATGCTTGATATCAGTATTCTGGGTCACAAACCACCAACACACAGTAACTCTCAAATACGGGAGCAAGGACATTCAAAACGTGCATTCAGGATCTGATCTGTTGTTACTGGTCACTTTTTAATACCGAGGTATAAATTAAATACAGTAAAAACGAAGACCTCTGCAGTGTTAGTTCTGTGAGTCTGACAAGTGTACACACTCTTGTAACCACACCCAAAATAAGATAAGAAACATTTCCACCATCTGGTCGGTCTCTGCTGTGGCAGCCACTGAAAGACTTCTGTCAGGTTAGTTTCGCTTGTCCTTGTACTTAAGCACTATTTTTGAGACAATGATTTTACTGACAAGCGATTCTGACAAATATTTGCACTTAGTGTAACATTTCTACATTAACTTCCCAACAGATTGTAATGAGATCTGACCATTATTTTAGCTTGGCACACAGCTTTCTGTGCCAGCAGAATAAAAGTTCTTGTTTTAGAGGCTTGCCCTGTGTGGATAACAGTGTAAGATCACATCATAATGGTTTGTACATCGATTTTGTATGTTTTATTGATGGAATCCAGTCTCTATCTAAACATGAACATTGGTATTAACATTTCTGCAACAGAAACTTTTATCATGTGTAAAATTACTAGTCACACCAAAGTACTTTGGATGCTCTGTGCCTAGGACAGCAGCTACTTGGATTCAAGTAGAGTTGATTCAGTAAAAATTCTGCTGCAAGAGTCTAAATAGAAGTATAAAATGGCTGTATTGTGTTTAATGTACTAAGAATTAACATGTTAAATTCCTTTTTCAATGAGGCTTGTATTGACTACATAAGGCTATAAGATGTGAAAAACATTCGTAACTTACAATAATTTCAACTATATTTAGAATGCTAACATCAGAATAGATACCTTCTGGTGGTACTTTTCTCCACTGGAGCTATCTCCATTAGAACATCCCTGTTAAACCCAGCTTCTATTTGAACAATTCCAAAGACAGGGGAAGGATTGGGAACTAATATCAATTGCATTAACATATACACTTGTTCAGTTAATAGTTCCTGAATGTGTACTGTGTGACTAGCTGAGGGCACAGTGGTGCATGAGGCTGACATGGAATTTGACCTCCTAGTGGAAGAAGGATAGGTAAACCAACCAACACTTGAGATAATTTCATGAGAGATGAGTACGATGAATAGTGGCCCTGGGTCTGGTTCTACCCTTGGATGCATAGCATGAATTATCCCTCTTCCATATGACAGACTTACCTATACAACAGACAACTAACCTATCTCCCTTAAAGCTCTCCCTCCATTCCAATATAATCATGGTTTCCACCATCCTGGCCACCCTTCTTGGAAAGCTTCCTGAAATCTTGAGCTTTTTATTTCAGTCCTATTAAATATTCAGCTCATTAATTTTAGCTTATATATTAAATCTGGAGATCACTTTGAATTCTTTCAGGTCATGTTTTTCCTCTCAGTACCCTGTCATTCATAGAAGTACACTTTTAAAAATTTAATCTTAACTACCAGCAAAATATCCAGGAAGACGGGGAGTCAGTGGGCCTTCTACCAGTTACGTTGGTATTCCAAAATCAACCAGATAGGAATTCAGCCTCCTGTATTATTAATCAGTCTCACTAAACATCTGCTTAGTGAATTCACTAATTTTCCAGGGTAGAACACCAAGCCTACTGGAATCTACTTTTCAGGACCTTTGGTTGTCATTCTGATTTTTTTCTTTTTTTTTTTAATTACTGATTTTAGAGAGAGAGGAAGGAAGAAGGAGAGAGAGAGACAAAGAAACATCATGTGAGAGAGAAACATCGATCGGATGCCTCCTATACATGGCCTGACTGAGCATCGAACCCACAACACTTTGGTGCACAGGACGATGCTTCAACAAACTGAGCCCCTTGGGCCAGGGTCCTTTTTCCTTTTTTTTTTTTTAATCCTCACCCGAGGACATTTTTCCTTTTTTTGTACAGATAGAGTGGGAGGGAGAGAGAGGAAGAGAGAGAGAAACATCGATGTGAAAGGGACACATCGAGTCGCTGCCACCCGCACGACCAACCAGGGCCGGGGACAAACTGCAACCGAAGTACGTGCCCTTGGCGGGAACCAAACCCGGGTCTCTCCGGACCACAGGCCGACGCTCTAACCACTGAGCAAAACTGGCCAGGGCGTGTTTTTTTTTGATCCTCACCCGAGGACATTTTTTCATTTTTTGTACAGATAGAGTGGGAGAAAGAGGAAGGGAGAGAGAGAGAGAAACATCGACGTGAAGGGACACATCGAATGGCTGCCACCTGTACGACCAACCAGGGCCGGGGACAAACTGCAACCAAGGTACGTGCCCTTAGCGGGAACCGAACCCGGGTCTCTCCGGACCGCAGGCCGACGCTCTAACCACTGAGCAAAACTGGCCAGGGCCTTTTTTCTTTTATTCTTTGTTACAGATGTTTTTCCTTTTTACCTCATTGACACCCTTCTCCCAATTCCACACCCCCCCCAGCACTGCTGTCTATGTCCATGGTTACGCATACATGCATACAAGTTCTGTGGTTTATCTCCCCCCTCCCCGGACCCCATCTCCCTCTTGAGGTTTGTCAGTCTGTACCCTACTTCTATGTCCTGGGTCTATTTTGTTCATCAGCTTGAACATTTGCCAGACCCTAGTGTTGACATCACTAGCGGCGGTTCTTTAATTGCATTAACATTTACCGACAAACACTTACTGAGAATTTACCACATGCTACGCATTCCAACTAAGTGCAAAAAATAAATGAGTAACTGAGGTATGTGGGGAGTTACATGAGCATTTGTGGTTTATTTTTGTTTCTGATTTTTTAATAATAGGCTGGGATTGAGTTTATCTGTTCCCAGATTTCCCTCATGAACTAGTTGTTCACAATAGATTTCAAACAGAAAGCGCACCTATGCTTGCCCAGGTGAGTCCACTCTGGGACCATGACTGCAGCAGGGTGACGGCTGGGACAGAGAGAAACCCGGTGCTCACCTCCAGCTTGGCATCCAGGTCCGCGTCAGAGGCCACAACGTGCTCGTCTTCCTTCTTCCCCGTGGCTTTGATGAAGGCCTGCTTCGTTTCCCAGTACTTCTGCTGCATCTTGTTTACGACGGACTTATCCTGAGCATAGCGATCCTGTAAGTCCCAGGGGTAACTGCTAAAACACATTGAGAGAGCTCTTTTATTCACGACCTTTATAATGACCAAGAGGGTTCAATGTGAACAAACTTAGCCAAACATTATACATTTGCAACATCGATAAACACAAATTCTTTCTTTGATGGTTATTACACCATAAAAGTTAATCAGCTTGGACTCCAAAACCTTAAAATTAGTGGAGAAATAAAATAACATTTAGGAAATGGAGAAACTGAACCTTGCAGAGAGTTTAGATATCAACAGGTAGGACACACCCCTTGAAGAAGGGAAGAAAGTGAGGCCTAGCCAGGCAGGGTGACAGGCTTAAGTCAGCCGTGAGTCAGAGATAAAGCCAGACCCCAATGTCCTCTCCACTCTGGCATTACAGCCAACAGAAGTGATGGCAGAAATGCAGAGATAAGGGGCTGAAAAACAGCATGCTTAAAATCTGTCACAGAGGTGCCTAAAATAGTCAAACTCATAGAATCGGAGAGTAGAATGGTGGCTACCAGGGGCTGGATGGGGTGAGGAGGAAATGGGAAATTGCTAATCCGTGGTCATAAAGTTTCAATTATGCTAGATAAATAAATTCTAGAGATACAACACTGCGCCTAGAATTAACAACGAGCATTGTACACTTAAAAAATTGTTAAGAGGGTAGACTTCTTACCAAAGTCAAGTAAAATCTAAAAACATTGAAAAAATATCTATTACAGCCCAGCTGGTGCGGCTCAGTGGATTGAGCATCGTCCCATGGACTAAGAGGTCCCCCTCGATTCCCAGAGAAGTCACGTGCCCAGGTTGTGGGCTCCATCCCCATTAGGGGGCATGCAGGAGGCAGCCAATTGATGTATCTTTCTCACATCAATGTTTCTCTCTTGCACATCAGTGTGTCTCTCTCTTCCTTTCTCTCTAAAAAAAAATCAATAAAAACATATTAAAAATATTTCTTAAAAATCTATTACAGATTTCTGATATTAAAACTTTAGTTTCTTAAATATAAATGCTTAAAATTTACATTCTTCAGGAAGAACATAGTGAAGATCAAATAAAAAACCATGTGAGAAAAAATTAGGAAAAAAAATTGAGAATGGAATGGAACTCTGTAAAAGTGAGCAGAATAGCTCAAACTGACAGTTTGCTGTTGGTCCATCCTCCCCCACGCTGTCTACACCCTCCTCCTCCTCCTCCAGCTCCAGCTCCAGAGGCCCACGCAGGACCTTGGTGTCTCTCCTACACAGACATGCATCATAGTCCACGCATGCTGCTGCCACTCAGAATGTGCCAAGCCTGTGTCTTAAAACATGAGCTGCCTTACATTACCATATCTCAAGACCTGATGGTTTATCATCTCCTTCCAGATAACACTTACAATTTTCAACTCACAGATTTATTCTTAAAATGGCATAAGGGATTTCAGATGACTTTCTCAGCAATGGTTATCTTTAGAGAGACAAGTAGGACTGGAGAGACTTTCATGGTTTAAGTTTTATTATGAGTTTACATAATAGAAAGTAAGATGAAAATATCTATAACTTTTATGTAAAAGATAACCTCTCTACAGAGTATGTTCATTAATAGACTGGAAGGATACACCGCCACCCCCGAATGGGGAATTGGGTAGATTTCTTTATACTGTATCCCCTCCCCCTACAAAAGGTCACAACTTAACAGAAAACAATTCCATTTTGAAAAGATGAAAGGGACTTTAAAGATCTTGTGAAAATGCCTCACTCCACCCCACGTCATTTAACAAAAGAGGAATCTTAGGTTTTGAAAGGTTAAGAATCTTGTCTAAAGTCACACAGGATTACAGCCCAGGCCGCTCAATCCCAGCGCTCACGCCAATGGTCTCTGCCGCTCTTGGATTTCAGCAGCAGGTAGTCAAGTGGCAGAGTGAGTAGGAGACAGATTTTGGGAAGGGCCCACTTTGTGGGGCTCTGCAGTCTCCCTTATACAGGTGACTCCCCCAAGCCTGCTGCCACACTATGACAGCCATTAAGAGGGTCCCAGGACGGAACCATCCCCTGTCTTAACAAGGCAAGATGGAACAGTTAAAAAACAGTCTGACAACTCTTAGTTAGAAAGCTGTCAAACAGGGATACTCAGGGAAACTAAATCCCCTAACCATTTATTAATTACCTTTTAAAACTCATTACATTTTAAGAGATGCAAAAGTTCTTTTGAAGTTTGACATTTGATATTAAAGAGGATTTGGACCTGACTGCTTCTCTACTGAGAGAGGAGGGATTAAAAAGTATACTCTTTGTTGTAATTAATTGTGCATTTGATAAATAAAAAAATATGCACTACATTTTTTTTTTTAATCCTCACCCAAGGACATTTTTGCATTTATCTTCAGATAGAGTGGGAGGGAGAGAGGGGGAAGAGAGAGAGAGAAACATCGATGCGAGAGAAACACATCAAGTGGCTGCCACGCACACGACCCCAACTGGGGCTGGAGACAAACTGCAACTGAGGTACGTGCCCTTAGTGGGAACCGAACCCGGGACTCTCTGGTCTGTAGGCCGACGCTCTAACTGCTGAGCCAAACTGGCCAGGGCTGCGTGCACCACATTTTTCATGATACGAATTAAAGGTGGTAACACATGACAAAGATCTGCTTGCCTGATGGGTCAAGCATTCAGAGGGGTTCAGAAACCTTGCTTGAAACAGGTCTGGAATTTATAAGGTGTCGACCATGTTGCTTAGTCGGGTTACAGTCACATAAATACCACCAATGTGCTAATATCACTCTGTGATCACCACATCTATTTTATTTACCACCATTAATTCCAACAGTGACTGGCTCTTGAATGTTCATGAAGGTTGAAGTCGTGACTATAAATGAATGAGTCTGAGTCTGTGTTCATTCATTATTTTATAGTTTCCCTACATAAAATTCCCTTTTAACCCTAACATTAGAAGTTGTAGCCCTGGCCAGTTGGGCTCAGCGGTTAGAGCATCGGCCTGCAGTCCTGTGAGACCCGGGTTCGGTTCCCACTAAGGGCATGTACCTCGGTTGCAGTTTGTCCCCGGCCCTGGTTGGGTCGTGTGGGTGGCAGCCACTCGATGTGTCCCTTTCACGTAGATGTTTCTCTCTCTCTCCCTCCCACTCTATCTGAACAAAAAAATGAAAGAAATGTCCTCAGGTGAGGATTTAAAAAAAAAGAATGATAAAAAAAAAATGTATCAACTCATTACATTTTAAGAAATGGCGGGAAGAAAAGCCTACATTAGATTCTCAAGAGAAAAGTTATATATAAAAACATTTCTTAGAGAATACTCATTAGATGAAGACATATAATATTTTTGGTTGCTTGGTTTCCATGTTACATTTAATAGGGATATTGAACTTGACTATACTCAACACTGGATAGGGACGAACAGGTTATTCATTGCTAATATGACTCTTGGTTTTTCTATGCAATAGACATTTATTGAGCATAAATATGGGCTTTCCTCTTTCGTTAGCCTCTACCAATTCAGAAAAGACAACACGTTACTTACCATTTGTGTCCTGACATGTTTTCTTCTTCTTTTTCTACTGTTGATGATTTGGGGAGAAGGGGCAGGGAAAAAGCATGAGAGGGTAAGTTATATTATAACCTGAAATAAAACAAATATTTTAACAGTTACACACTATATTACAGTTATATGTTCATCTGACACATAAAAATTCCAATCTAAGCCATTTCTAGCTGTATTTTAGGGGCCCAACCCTATCCTACAATAACACTGTACACTGATGTTGAGAATAGTTTAGCTAAGTAACACTGGAAGAAATATTCCAAATGAAGTTTAAGAAATGAACAAGCAGGTTGGATAAGAAAGGAAGGCTGCAGAAGACTATATAGAGTGAGACCATAGCATACAAAGCAATGCGATATGCTATTAAAGTATAGGGATATGTATAGTGAAGATGTAAAGAATTGCTTAGGGATGGTGAACGCTAAGTTCCAGAAAACAGTTACCACTGCGGGGAGGGGGGGATATTATTCAAGAGGTATATGCAGGGACTTCAACTGTACCCACGGTGTTTGTTATGCTAGGTGGCGAATATACTGCATGTGTGTGTGCCTCTTTAGAGATTTAAATATTTCATAATCACTATTTCTAAAAATGAACCAGCCCAATGCACAAACAACCAACCAAAAAAAGTTGATTTGCTAGAATGAGCTACCAAGAAGGGTAAAAGAAGGAAAATGTGTTTATTTCAGGGTTTTTTTTTTTAAGTTAATAAATTTTTATTTAAGGAACGTCACGTGTTCTGAGTCCTTCCACTGCCTTTGTTTTTCCCGAGTTTGATTCTTTTTAATTTTTATTTATTTTTTTTATCTTCATCCGAGGACATTTTTGCATTTATCTTCAGATAGAGTGGGAGGGAGAGAGGGGGGAAGAGAGAAACATCAGTGTGAAGAGATACATCGAGTGGTCGCCAGTCCCATGCCCAACCGGGGCTGGGGACAAACGGTAACCGAGGTACATGTTCTTAATGGGAACCGCACCTGGGACTCTTGCGTCCACAGGCCAACACTCGAACCACTGAGCCAAACTGGCCAGGGCCCGAGTTTGACCCTTAATCCCCCCCTTTTTTTCTCTCAATCCAGTTGTTTATTTCAGTTTTTACCAGACTAACATTGTGTCTTCACCTCATTTGTAAATACAGGAATCACTTGATGCCTTTGCCCCTCACTCCATGGGCCCCACTCATGGAAGCTAGTCAACCAAGAGGGAGGGGCAGAGCCAACCAACCCAGCCACACTTACCTACCGGTCACGGGAAAGAGTCCTGAGTTCACTACCTAACGGGATGGCCTCTGGCCAGACAGACCGCTGGCCGCCAGTGCAGGCTCAGCGTCCAAATGCTTCCGTGCTCCCACCTAATCAGTGCCATCCTTCTCCCTCTGCCTTAGAAAGGGTCCTGACAACTAGTAGCTCTAAAATGCTTAAAGTTCCCCGGGCTTTTAAAAAATAAGTTAATGGAACTAAATTGAGTGTTGCAATTCCAGGCTTCAGGTGAGAGGAAGGAGGACGTTTTCTTAGTGGCCAGATGCCATGGAATGACAGCATCCCACAATTAGCATCTCTTCCTCTGGAGGGCATCCAGGTTTCTGGACGGGTTGCTTTGGAAATGACATTCATGATGAGTCAGCCTTGCCCTCCGCTCGGTAAATCATGGAGAGGCCATGAACCGCCCACACAGCCTCACAGCAAGGACACATTTACTTTATTTAGCTCAAAGCTTCCATCACAGTTTCTCAGAAAAAGATGCTGCTCAAGGAAATGAAATTATTATACTCTTTCCTTGAGTTCGATTTCACCAGGAACTATTAGGACAGTTAGTACTTTCTGATTAATATTTTTATTGTGGTAAAAAAAAAAAAAACTCACATAAATTTACTCTCTTAACAATTTTTAAGTGTATAGTACAGTACTGTTGACTATCACATTGTACAACAGATCTCCAGAACTTTTTCATCTTGCATGACTGAAACTTTATACCCACTGGGCAACTCCCCATTTCCTCCTCCCTCAACCCCCAGCAACCACCATTGTGCTTTCTGTTTCTGAGTTTGTCTTAGCTCCTTCATGTGAGTACATCATGCGACCTTTGTCTTGTGACTGGCTTATTTCACTCAGAACAATGTCCTCAAGGTTCATCCATGTTGTAACATCTGACAAATTTTCCTTCTTTTTTAAGGCTGAATAATATTCCCTTGTATGTGTGTAGCACATTTTCTTTATCTGTTCATACACTGAAGGACATTTATTTTTTATTTTACTTTATTTTTTTATCTTTATTGATTTGAGAGAGAGAAGAAGTGAGAGGGAGACAGAAATAGAAACATCGATGAGCGAGAACATCGATTGGCCGCCTTCTGCATGCCCCCCACTGGGGATTCGGCCCACAACCTGGGCATGTGCCCTGACCGGGAATCAAACTGGTGACCTCTTGGTGCATGGGTCAACGCTCAACCACTGAGCCACACCGGCTGGGCCACTGATGGACATTTAGATGGCTTCTGCATCTTGGCTATTGTGAATAATGCTACAATAAACATGGGTGTGAAGACACCCCTTCAAGATCCTGTTTTTATTTTTATATACCCAGAAGTGGGATTGCTAGACCACATGGTAGTTCTATTTTTCATGGGTGAGAAACATTCATGCTTTCCCCCCAGTGAGGGCACCATTTCACAATGCTCCACCAACAGTGCTTCAAGGCTCCAATTTCTCCACATCTTCACCAGAAACTTGTTATTTTCTGGATTTCTATTTTTTTTTTTAGCAGTCATCCTAATAGGTGTGAGGTGATATGTCACTATGGTTTTAATTTGCTCTTCCCTGATCATTAGTGAAGGTAGGCATCTTTTCTTATGCATATTGGCCATTTGTGTCTTCTTTGGAGAAAAGTCTATTCAAGTCCTTTGCCTATTTTCTAATTGGGGAATTTTTTTGTTATTGCATTACCACAGAGGAGTGCTGGAGATTCTGGAGATTCACCCTTTATTAGAAATATGGTTTGCAAATATTTTCTCCCATTCAGTAAGTTGTCTTTTCACTGCCGAATATTTAATTTGCTACAACTTTTTGATCAATTTTTGATCATTAAATTATCTAATAATTTAAGTCTTTTGTGGTAAAATAGATAATAAAATCACTGAGGAAACTGCCCCTTTTACCTGGATTTCCAAGCTACTTCCAGATTACGATGCCACGTGGCAGTGTTCCTCAGGGTGCTGTTTACAGGCACTTGCACTGAAACCTTCTGGAGTGTTAACATGCTGATTCCTGGGCCCCACCCCTTAACTGCCGAACTAGAGTCTCTGGGAATGGGTCTGGGAACCTGCGTTTGTATAGGCTTTGCAAGTGATTCTTAAGCACATTAAAGTCTGAGTACCACAGCTAAAAGACACACAGGGAAAATTCTTTCTGGAAATGGACTTTACTTGAATAAACTGCTGGACTATATGCAACTTGAGAAAAGGGGTCATGAGTGGCAAAATCAAGTCCACTGCACAGGCACATCTGAATGTCTCAGGACAGGGCAGAGGCAGCCAGAGCCTGCATCTCCTTTCATGTAGGGACGATTAAAACACAACCTGAATATTTCCTGACAAAACCATCTCATCTTGCTCTAGTACTTCCTAAACCCATTGTCAAAACCAATACTTTAAAAAATGGTTACAATTGCCATCCATTCATTTATTTCAGTTCATCGGTTTGGTTTATCAAAAATGCATTAAGCATCTAATTAATATGTGCCAGGCACTGTCCCTGGCCTCAAGGAACTTACAGTCTAGATCGATTCTAAGCAATAGAAATATACTATGAGCTACATATGTAATTTTAAATGATCTAATAGCCATGTTAAAAAAGTAAAAGGAGCCCTGCCGGTGTGGCTTAGTGGTTGAGCACTGACCCATGCACTAGGAGGTCACCAGTTCGATTCCTGGTCAGAGCACATGCCTGGGATGTGTGCCCAATCCCCAGTGGGGGGCATGCAGGAGGCGGCCAACTGATGTTCTCTCTCATCAATATTTCTATCTCTCTTCCTCTCCCTTCCTCTCTCTCTAAAACCAACATAGAAAAAAATTTTTTAAGAAAATAAAAGTAAAAGGAATGAATAAAATTATAAAAAGTAATATACTTTATTTAACCCAGTATATCTAAAATATTATTTCAACATGTAATCAATACAAAAATTATATATTTTGCATTTGTGTTTTTGTAACAAGTGTGAAAGCAGGTGTGTACATTATACTTACAATACAGTACATAGCCACTGGACCTAGCCACATTAAGTGCTCAATGGCCACATGCACTTAGTGGCTACAGTACTGGACAGACAGGAAAGACAGACATATAAACATAATTTCCAGACTCATGAGACTCTTGACATTTGCAAGGGACCTATAAAAATATCTTCCTGAATTCCCAAATTTGTAAGTTCTGCTGTAAAAATATCATTTCCCCTGCCAAGTGCAATAAAGTATGCAATTAGCTAATACTTCAGGTCACGATTCTGCAAAGGAAGCTATTGCTCCACTTCTCCCACTTACGAACGAAACCCCAAATGAATGGAATCATGTCTCCAACTTTTTAATGGCACAGAGAAGACTTCCTAAAGTTCTGCTTGTCACCACCTTGCCTTGGGGGACAAGCAAAGAAGAGCAAGTACCAAGTTGCTTATGGACTGTGCGTGCCGTGAGAAGAAAAAAAAAGCACCGATATTGTTAAATTCAGCACGACTTGCCCACAGGAATGGCAGATGAGCCAGTAATAATTAAGACCTACTCAAAGAAGTAGGGGTCCAAGAGTTAACAGATCAGTGAAAATCAAGTTCCTAATTTTGATGCAACAATTCTGAGGGTGGGTAGGGTGGGTGGGTTAGTGAGAAACAGGCTAAGACAAGAAATAAAGAGGAACGATGTTTCCCTGCTCAGAGATGGGACTGCTGTTGAGGTCAGCACCTCCTGCTTAGGTGACACTATGACCATCAACCTAATTCTCTTACACTTTTCCAGGCTGCACCTTGATGGGG